ATATTCTTTACTATGAATTTATACTTTGATTTCATGACTTGAAATTGTTTAATACAAATGTTTAAAAAAGAAATTGTCAATTTATTTTGCACTTGAAACCCTAGTCGCTTTCTCTCTCTCTCTCTCTCTCTCTCTTTTTTATTTTCTTTACAATTTGTGCCATTTTTTTTAGATCAAATCAACTTTTTTTTTATTTTGTTTAGCCGGAGGTAACACCGGTTTTTATGCGAGTTGTCGGTTGTCTTTTCTCTTTGTTTTTTCTTAGTTTGTTAATAAGAATAAATTTGTCTTTGTGACACGTTTATGTCTCCCTTTGTGACACGTTTATCTATGTATTTTGATAGTTGTCGATCGTTCGGTCGTTATTTTCGTTTATCGTTTTTTCTCAGGATTGAGATTTGACATCGCCACGACTTATCAAGATGACACTTATTTGTTATCATGTTGATCTTCCTAGCTTTGGACCCTCGGATTGATTTGGATATACGTTTTGAGTTCGTGGATAGTTTTTTCACGTCGCTTGATTCTGATTTGTGATTTGTCGGTGGTCTTTCAATAGTTTCATCCTCTTTTGTGGTTCGTTTGTTGATGCAGTCGGATTTGTTTGTATCTTTATTTTGTTCGAGCATTTTGGTTAGTTTTTTTTAACCTTTGCCTTCTTTGGTCCTTGTGTGATTTAGGTGGCTAATTTTTGTGTCAATGGTTATAGGAAAATATTCTAATTAAAATTTAGTTTACATTTACGGTTATGCTTGTAAATCATCGTTGTAATTCTAAATATTTTCAATTTTTAATAAAACTAGCAGCTTTCTATAAAAAGAAATTGTCTAATGTTAATGTTTCAAATAGAAATGGTCTAATGTTAATTTGTTTTAAATGCCTTTAAGTGTATATTTAACACATATAATTTGACTAATATATTCTGATGATTAATTTGACTTAAATTCAACTTGAATTTTTTTTCGAATTCGAAGTGTCATACAAAATATTAACACCTCTAAAGACGATAGTCATAAATTAGATCGAAGATGTCACAATAAACAATTGAAACATAAACTATGTCATCAATTCGAAACAAAACAAACGTTTTATCAACAATTTATTCATTGATTTTTATTTATCACATTCATTGTTGGACTGAAACGTTGTCTTTGTCATTTAGAGGGACTAAATTGCATTCTACATCATTAAGATATTTTAGTGTATATATAATCTCTTTGAGACGATGTTTAGAGCTTATTCCCACAATTTGCAGGGATGGACGAAGGATCTCACATTAAGAGAAACTTTTAAAATATTAGGAATGAGCGAATTTATAAAATTTTAGAATGTGAAAATAGATTATCAACTGAAAATACAAAGAAAAATTTGATTGTCCGGACTCGGAGGTAATAAGATCAAAGCCATATGCGAAAGCATCAACCAAGTTCATTCATGCACTTTTTAATATACAGAGAAATCTCTGCTTCTATCTCCGATAAACTACATCAAATATCATTGAACTTTAAGTTATGTATCTTTTATATTAGTAAATTTTTAATTACTCCAATTATAGTATTATATTTTAGTGTTGACTTCAATTATGTCACTGGATTGTTAAAAATTCAAACGGTGTGATGACATGGACAAAACAATATTATTTTAGTACGATTATTGATGTTTAAAACAATTTTTAAACACTAAACTTTAGGGATGTATTGACTTTGTCACTAAACTTTATACATTTCACTTTTTTGAACTACACTTTTTCGGATGCCACCGATCTTCAATCATCGTCCGTCAATAGTCATCTTTCGCGATAAGATTGGTATTAAAATATGCATATTTCACTCATCTTTCTTCTCCTAAAATTGGTTTTCAATGAGACTTAATCAAAATTGAAGAAACTAAACAAAAGAAATCTATCATTTTGAGGCGTTTGGGATTTCTCGGATTTAAGGGGTTTGGGGTGTTTGTTAGAAAATATGAACAGCGAGAAGCAATATTTCGAGAAGACAAAAAAATACATAACTCAAAATTAGTCTCATCAGATGGTCATCGAAGAAAATTGGAGTATAAGTTCGTCAAACATAACTCAAAATGTGAACATTTTAATACCGATCTTGCTGTGAAAGATGACTAATGACGAATGACGATTGGCTGTCAACGGCGACGAGAAAAGTTTAACGTCTAAAACTAAATATTTTTAAAGTTTAGTGACAAAATCGATATACCTTAAAATTTAATTCCTAAAACAATGTTGTTTTAGATTTCGATAACCACGCCAAAATTCTTCATTTTCTCCACGTAATCACAATGAAGGAAAGTTCCTCCTTGATACATAAAAAAATCAACTCTCAGTTCTTTTTTGATTTCCCCAAGGACACATGTTCTTTATTTGCCAACTTTCTAGTTAAAATCACAATGTTCAATTGCTCATAATTACTAACTATTTTTTTTGTTTTTTGAACAATGGCAACTTGATCTTATTGATAATGGATGGAATCAAAATTACAGCATATCAGAATAAAGAGATAAATTTCGAGACAATAGTCACCAAAATAGCCAAACAAAAGGAAGTAATAACCCTAAAAATACGAAGAAAATTAAAATCTTCTATTGAGATGACTACTAATATCAAAACTCAGTAACCTTCATACAAACTCCTTCTCTTTGTCGAATGAAACGCTTGGTGAAGTGATAAAGGAGTGGAGAGCGAACCAAATAATCTGGCAGGCTGCTCTACTACACAATTCTGATTACATTGACAAACAACTTTTTACCAAAAGATGGGATCTGACTATACGTGACCACCAACTAACTAATCAGAAAATAAATATTGTGATGGTTTTTGTGCGAAAACCAAAACGACTACAAAGGTATGCGAAAAAATGTACTGAAAAATATGAGGATCGTGCCACAAGAGCAAAGAAAAATCATGTCATAAGGATAAATATGTTTATTCAAAATTAAAAAGATGAAGAAAACATATAAAGACATAATATAAAAAATAAGAGAACTAAAATTCTTCAGTAGGTCGGCAATCAACATTAAGATTAGTGTCGTCGCCGGTTAAACAAAGATTAAAAGAAAGAATAAGGCAGCACAAAAATATTGAAAGAAAATTAGGTGGAGAGAAAAGGGAGGAGGCTAGGGTTTGATAAAAATAAAAGTATCACAATTATCAATAATTACCTAACTCTTTATCACAAGTAATTACGTTCAAATACATAATGTGTCTTATAATAAGGCTTAATTAGAAAATAAAGCCCAAATTATACTTTTTTTTTTCTTAAATAGGTGCCTAAAGTATTTTTTCAATCCATTCATGTGCCTAACTCTAAAAATGTTATCATTTTAGGTCTCGACTATAATGGACATTAAATTATGCCTTTAAAGGACATGTATCATGTTCTGGTAATTTTAAATTTTATTTAAAATTAAAAAAATTAAAATTAAATAATCCAAAATTTTGAAAAACTAAAAAAATTCAAAACTTTGAGAATTCTAATTTTAATGTCTAAACCCACGCATATTGTCGTCCTTTGCCGTCGATGAACCTCACCTCCACCTGGCGACGATAACCCCATGAAAAGCCATCAGAATAGGAGTCAATCAATGGTCAATTGTCGTGTGTACCTCGACAAATCCCGACACTGCAAATCGCAAACCCGAGCGATCCCGACGACCAATCAGCGGCAAGAATGATGACATTTGACTAGGAAGATGACAAGGACAACGGTGACCTTGGCCGACAAGAACGACGTCGGTGGATTAAGAATTTAGGATTTTTAGAAATCTAGAGTTTTTTTTTAATTTAAGAGAAATTAGGGTTATTTTTTAAATATAATATTTTTAACTTTGAGAATTCTAATTTTAACGTCTAAACCCACGTATATTGTCGTCTTTGCCGTCGATGAACCTCACCTCCACCTGGCGACCGATAACCCCATGAAAAGCCATCAGAATAGGAGTCAATCAATGGTCAATTGTCGTGTGTACCTCGACAAATCCCGACACTGCAAATCGCAAACCCGAGCGATCCTGAAGACCAATCGGTGGCAAGAATGATGACATTTGACTAGGAAGATGACAAGGACGTCGGTGACAGCGGTGACCTTGGCCGACAAGAACGACGTCGGCGGAATAAGAATTTAGGATTTTTAGAAATTTAGAGTTTTTTTTTAATTTAAGAGAAATTAGGGTTATTTGTTAAATATAATATTTTTAACTTTTTTAAAATAAAATTTGCTAAATTACTATAATGTGACACGTGTCACTTAACGAAATTTTTTAATGGCCGCTAAGATCGGACACCTAAAATGATAACGTTTGTATCGTTACACATTTGGATGAATCGAAAAAAATGACACTTTTTTTTTAAAAAAAACGTTATAGTTTAGTACTTGGTTTCTAATCAAACCTTGAAATAATGATATCAACTGAATTAAGACTAAACCGATAGATACAGATGATTCAATTTAATAAAAAAAATCGAATCAATAAGCTAAAAGAGAAATGTGACATGTAAATAGTTTGTTAGTTCCCATAGGAACCTAATATGACCAAAACAAGTGGTCGTAAATTGACTTGGCAACATTAGGCTGCTTGAAATAGAAGCATGGTAAGCGGCCTAAGTTTGAATAACTGGGTCAAAATTAGGGACTTCAAAAAGTTTCTATACCAAAAAGTACTTGCCAAGTTCATTTCTCCAAACTCTAGGGTTTGATCTTTTCTCCTAAAGCTTTCAACGCCATCTTTAATTCATAGTCAAAACCTTTGAAACCTGCACTAGGTTCACTTGTTCAAGTTGAGACAATCGTTCCCATAATCTTATTTTCCGTTGTTTACAGGTTAATTAATCGAACCAAATTCAGTTCCGTAATTATTATTGTTGTTTACAGGTTAATTATTCGAATCGAATTCAGTTTCGTAAATATTATCGAGCAAGTTTAGTTCGAAACATTACATCCTATGAACATAATTGAAGCTTGAGATGGATGTTTATTTTGACAAATTGAGAACTGTGCTTGATATTTAAAAGTATAATAAAAGAACATGAACCAGAAGTATAGCGTTTCTAAGTAATGGAATCTGTTAAAAGGTATAGCCTGCACAAGGTTTTTCCTATATCATTAGCCCTAAACAAATCCTGATGTAATCTCTCTTTTTTTATTGGTTTCTCTAAGTCAGCTTGGCTGTACCGATGCTGCTTCCGGAACGCCTCGAAGCAGTCCGATGACATCAACAATGTCGTCGACGTAGTATTTTGCCCTGCTTGGTTTTAGACCGACCGTGCATGCGAATATCTCTGCTATGGTGGGCAAGATGGGGTTGGCGGATGAACGAGTGATGCTCTCGAACATATCTTCGTCGGAACGATCGTCGCCTATGCAAAGCAGGAAATCCGGTGCCTTGCCCTTGCTCCTCATGCTTGAGATCACATTTTCTACGACATTGCCTTTGCTCACTCCCTGCAGTTCCACATAAAAGGGAACAACGGCTTAAACCACAAGCCAATGAAGTAAATACATTTTTCAGAGATTCCGAAAACACTTTGTACCTGTGGCTTGACCTCAACTATGTGTTCCCCCTTTTTAACAACAACAGGCTCATTGGCCAGGACATTCTCCAAGTGGTCATGAAGCTCCTTAGCTTGGCATAAACCGAAATCGGGATCGGCGTCTTGATAGTGCCAGACGACCCCGGTTTCTTTGTTCTCGATGCACGACCCATCGGTTGTCTCGGTGTAAAGTTGCATTATAGGTTCAACGACCTCTTTCCAACTCAAGTCCATTGAGCAGGAGGTTTCCCATGGGGAGTCCCTAGTCCACCTACCAGATCGGAAGACTCGATGTTATATCGATCAAGAAACTGATACTGCAACATATCTTGGATTAAATGAGTACAAAATTTAAAACATTACCTTATAAAGAATCCATGCTCGGCTGCAATACCCAATTTCTCACATGAAGAAAACCACTTGCTCAGGGTTCCCCGATCTCTGCCGCTCACGATGAAAACAACGTTTTTCGGGTCACTGCATAATCGATTCAGGACAGAAATAACTTCATGACTAGGCCCCTTGTTTACCGAAGTCGGCGGCATCATTGTCCCGTCATAGTCCAAAAGGATCAGTCGGCTACTGGTTATCTTGTAGGAAGAGTTGAGAGTATCCCCTATTAGCTTCCTGAAGTTAGGCTCCATGGCAACAAGCCTAAATGCAAAACCAAGTCCGACTCTCCAATACCTCTTGTGATAATGATCACTACAGGCTCTCACGAGGTCCTGATCGAAACTCCAAGCCCAGTACGAAACATCATGAGAACTAATATACTTGTAATGCTTCTCGTGGCGCAAGTGTTTCTCCGTGTCCGGTAAAGTAATGGCAGTACACATTGCACTAGCCATTTCGGTAATGTCCCACGGATTGACACGGATCGCCCCGCTCAGTGACGGTGAGCAGCCAATGAATTCAGAGACAATGATCACACTATGCTTGGGAGGTGAGTTTTCATCTACCCCTAATGCCTTATCCAAAGCAGGGCAGCCCTGCCTACAAACAGTATACTTATATGGAACCAAATTCATCCCATCTCTCACAGGAGTCACCACACAATACTCGGCCACCGCGTAATACGCGAGCTTCTCTAGGGTAGTGATCGGTCCCTTCACGAAAATGATCGGCTCGTAGCCGGGTTTCCCATACTTGGTATTGACATCCCTGGCAATGCTATTGGCCTCATCAAGAAGTTGTTGCACATCCCGGCCTAAACTCCTAGCCGGATTAGTAATCTGTACCAAAACAACCTTGCCTCTCAATTCTTCATTCCTTTCCAAAAGCTCCCCCACGGCTGCAAATTTCTCAGGAATCCCCTTGAACAAATCCAAATCGTCGACGCCGATCATCAGAATCTTCCCCTCGTATTGATCCCTCAACTCCTTAACCATCCTAATGGTATGTTCCTCGGAGATGACAGATCCAACCTGCTTCATATGAATCCCAGCAGGCAAGATCTTGATGGTCACAGGCCTACCATAATATTCTAAAGCAATGTGGCCCCTATTGGACTCAGAATGCAAACCCAGAATCCTTCTACAACAAGACAAGAAGTGTCTAGCATAATCAAATGTATGGAAGCCGATCATGTCACAATTCAACAGAGCTCTAAGAATGTCATCTCGAACAGGTAAAGTTTTGTAAATATCAGATGAAGGGAAGGGACTGTGTAGAAAAAAACCAAGCTTTACCCTGTTGCACCTTCTTCTCAAAAAGCTAGGTAAAGCCATGAGATGATAGTCATGCACCCATACATGGTCCCCGTCTTCATCGTCTCTGAACATGACTTCAAGGACTTTGTCCGCAAATATTTTGTTGGCCGACACGTAAGCCGTCCACTGCGCGCGGTCGAAACGTACGCCGTCGCTTCCGGGCTTCGGCATCATGTAATGGAACAAAGGCCATAGGTAGTGCTTACAGAAGCCGTGATAGAACAGGTTGCGCATCTCGACGGGGAGGAATATGGTTTCGCAGCTCATCTTCTCGCGGAGGAATCCGGCCACCTCGTCTTGATCCGCCGCGTCGACGTCGGCTTTCAACGTTCCGACGTACCGGACCTCCGTGTCGGGAGGGAAAGCGTCTCTCAGCTGAGCCAAGAGATCGTTCTCGTCGAATTCAAAGCGCCATTCTTTGTCGTCGTCGTCCCTCCAGACACGTAAAGGCAACTGATTGGAAACGACGATAACCCTTTTCCTCGGCACGCTCTGTTGCTCATCGTCTTCCGATTCAGGGACGAGCCCGGGGACCTTATTGACTCGGGGGATCCGATTCATGACTCGGGAATCATCGGTGGACAACATGTTGAATTGGTCTAAACAACAACTGGAAACCATGTTTATAGATTGATCAAACAACAGAAACACACAAAAAAAAACCCAGACTTTTATACACGTTAAAATCAAATATATCAAACAGAAAGGATCAATGAAGAAGACGAAACAACTTTGATTTCATTGTTTCAAGAAGTACACAAGATTGTTTAACAAAGTTTAGGCATTTACAGAAGCGAATAACGAAGAAATCTGAATCCGGCACAAATTTTCAATCATAGATTTCGTTACACATTCCATAAGAAACAGAGAAAACCAAAAAAGAGAGCTTTTAAGCAAAGAAAGAAGCACGCAGAGGATAAGAACGAAAAGAGTGAGGAAAATATAGAAGAATATTATTATATATGCGCGTGATAACGTCAAGGCAATGGTTTCTACGGTCCGGATTCCCTGCGTCTACACCGTAATCTCCTGTAGTTCGTTATATGGGATCCATTTCTCACTGAAACCGACTCTCTCTGTTCTGTTCTGTCCGATCCCCGCTGTTGAGCCACGGTTACCTTTTTGTGTTACGTTTCTTTATATATTTTTGCAGTTACAATTGATTAAGTAAATCTTATCTTTAATCATTAATTAGATATTTAATCTCGCCATCTTTTTTATGGATTTTATTTATTAATTAATACAAATAGGTAGAGGTTAAGCGTTCGATCCAGTTAAGTCAAGTCTAGTCAAAAAAATTAGAGTTATTCGAGTTGAACAGTCTTATTTTATAGCTAGAAGTTGATTTCAAATTTTTTCGAGTCGAGTCAAATTTTTAAGTTTATGCTTAAATTTAATTATAAATATTTATAATATTATGATATTATTTTAATCCAATTTAAATGGTTTTTTTATAACCATATATAATACATGTGTATTTATTCGTATTTTTTCATATGTGATATACATTTATGATACAGAGTCGAGGGACTCAACTCAAACTTGAAAATCAATCTACTAATGATTAAAAATTTCGAGTTATACTTCGATAAATAAATAAATATCTTTCTTATTTATGTTAATTGATAAAATCACGAGAAAATGGGGGAGCTAAAAATCATTATAGTTTTTATATGCAGGATAAATTAAAGTATTTTGGATTAGGATAACACTTTAAGCCATTAATTACTAGGAAATCAAGCTGCTGGTTTTATTTTGGAAAATATTTAATTGTTGGGTAAATTACAATATCGGTCACCATACATTATCTCTCTCCTAGTTTGGTCATCATGTTATTCTTATTACTTAATTGATCCCTAATGTTACGTTCTTTCCTCTTATTATAGTCGACAACGGTTAAGTAATTAATGAAGTAGCTGATGTGATACTGTATAATAATAATCGTAGTCTTCGAAATTTATATATTATATTAGTTTAATCCTGATTTAAAATTATTTGATAAATTTAACTCTTAGTATTTAAAAATTTATCAATTTAATCCTACTTTAATTCTAAATCGATCATTGTTTTTACCTAAAAAAGCTTGTGCTTAGCTGCTAGATCAAGCCAAAGTTTAACTTAAATATTATTTTTATTAACAATGTGATAATTACATGACTTGCCTTAGTGATTAAGTGTTGGTTATACCCAGGTCTAAATTTGATCCCTTTCAAATACATCCATATTTTCTTTAAGGATTAATACAAAAATAAGCTCTAAGAGAATGTCTCGAAAAATATTTAAGTGCCTAAAATTGTTTTCGTTAAAAATAAACGTCTAAAGTTTTTTCTATTACACTTTTCGGTGACTACCGTAAAAAAACCCTAAGCGACACGTGTCATATCCATATTTTTTAAAATAAAATATTATTTAAAAATATTTTTAACGAAAAATTCTTTAGGCACTTAAATATATATATTTAGGTACGTACTTTTATCGAAAATTTATTTAGGTGCCAAAAATTAATTTTGAGTATAGTTTAGGTACTTATTTTTATATTAAGCCTTTCTTTAATAATTAATTTCAGTTGGAATTTAACTTAAATATTATTTTTGTTTACAATGTAATAAACTTATAATGGTCTGATCCCTCCCAATATCAACCTTTTTTTAATATTAGAGGATTGTTAATAGAACCTACAAATATTGATAGTTAAATTAAGTGAATTTTTATTATAGAAAGTCGCTAGTTTTATTAAAAATATAAAATATCTAAAATTACAGTGAATATTTATAATCATAACCGTAAACCTAAAATATAATTATGACATTTGCTTATTACCATTGAGACAAAAAACTAGCCACCTAAATCACATAAGGACCAAATAAGGAAAATGTTAAAAAATCTAACAAAAAAATCGAATAAAATAAAGATATGAACAAATTTGACTGCATCGGTAAATGAACCACAAAAGGGATGAAGCTACTAAAAGACCACTGACAAATCATAAATCAAAGTCAAGTTACGTGAGAAAATTATCCACGAAATCGAAATGCATATCCAAATCAATCTAAGAGTCCAAAGCAGGAAAAATCATCATGATAACAAATAAGTGTTATCTTGATCAGTCGTGCAAATGTCAAATTCAACCTTAAGAAAAAAAAGATAAACAAAAACAACTGCAAAAATCGTAAGCTACCAAAAGGTAGAGATAAACGTGTCATAAAGGTAAAGAATATGTCACAAATAAATAATTATTCTTATTAAAAAACTAAAAAAAAATATAACCGATGAGCGGCAACCAACATTAAAACAGTGCCACCGTCGATTAAATAAAATTAAAGATTAAAAGTTAAATTGATCAATAAAATTGACACAAAATGTAAAGAAGAATAGAGGAGAGCTAATAATATGATGAAAGTTTATCATATTTTTTATTTTATTTTATTTTATTTTATTTTATTTTTGGATTAAAAAGGGAAATGATAAATAATCTTAAATAGTGTAATTGAATGAAGATTTTGCTTTCAAATAAAAGAGGAAAAAGAAAACGTGTCCGAAATCCTTTCACAGATTTACTCGGTCCTCGTATCTGCCACGTGTAAAGATCTCAACTCTCGACGCCTATCCATCAGACTCTCCCGTATATTTCAAAAGATTTTTCTTCTTTTCCTATTTTTGAATTAAAAATGGAATATATATATAATCATGTTTTTGTCATAATAAATTACTAATTTTAATAATCGTGAGTGGGTTTCTTTATCATGAATTCAAATTCACGTGCAATAATAAATTGAAGTGGAGCCACGTGGGATTACTATACTGGCAGTGTGGCCTGTTCGGTTCGTTAAACAAAACCAGAGTCACGGACGTGTCTCCCAGTGATGACGTGGCATATTCACGTATCTTTATTGTTAGTGTCGTCCGCCTCTTATGATCTGCCATGCCAGCAAAGCAAAACCTGTACCTTTCTCTCCTCTACAACTGCCATGACAGCAAAGCAAAACCTAACGCAGAGGGAGAATAGTATAAAGGGTAAACTACACGTTTAGCAACCCAATCATTATTTTTGTTTCGTTTTGGTCGGTCAACTATTTTTTTCTTCAAAATAATGCTTAACGTTATGTTTTGGTTATCTATCGTTAAAAATTAAGATAATTACTGATGTGACAATTTCTTTATTTTTTTCAAATGATGATGTGACATTATCTTATGGTTACCAAAACAAAATCAAAAATAAATCTTAGGTATGTGTTAGGATTTTCGGAAGCTCGAAACGACAACTGAAACGTTTTGCAAAGAGGGGTCGGAACGGTTTTGTGTTTATAGAGTAAGGAGATTGAAAGATAGAGAATTGGACATCGATTTATAGTGGTTCGACTTTCTCAATCAAAGTCTACGTCCACTACCTTAGCTCCTCACCAAGGATTTTCCAACAAATTCACTAATTTGTTCTTTCTTTTGAGGATAAAGAGTAACCTTACAAACTCCCTAGTTTTTCCGGGCTAAACTAGAACCTTTCCCTAGCTTTTACACGGGCTAAGCTAGAACCTTTCCCCTTTACAAAAGGATAATAAATGTAAAAAGAAAACCTCTCTAAGGTAGGTGTTTACAAGATTGAGCTCACAAGAACAAAATATATACAAGAGAAAGATGAAATAAGAATGAAAAATTCTTCTCTTGTGTTTGATTGCTTGGATAGTTGTTCTCTTGCTTCTTCAAGTGCCCTTAGCTTGTATTTATAGCTTGGAATGTGTTTGAAGTCATATCTAGCCGGTGGGGATGTTTTGGAGCCGTTTGGGAATGATTTTTCTGCAAAAATAGGCTGCCCAGAATGGGGGGAATCGGTACCCCTTCATAGGGAATCAATACCCCTTCATAAAATTCAAATATTATGACCGTTGGGCTGATGAACAGTGAGGGAATTGGTACCCCCTTGGGGGGAATCGGTTCCCCTTTTACATACTGAATTTTTTTAGCATCGGGTTACTGTTCAAACAGTGATTTACTGTTCAAATAGTAATTTACTGTTCAAATAGTAAATTACTATTCATAAAAACATTTTTGTGCTCAATTTTAAATTAAAAGAACTTTGAATTATTTTTGTAAATTTTGAATAAATTCAATTAAGTCCAAATACATTTTGTAAATTCAATTCAAGTCCAAAAACCATTTTGCCTTAAATTGTTATATCGAAACATAGTTCAACAGTATGATTTTAAAAAAATGTTGGATAACCAAAACAAAATAAAAGTGATAATTAAGGTACTAAACATGTAGTTTACCTTGGTATAAAATCATTATGACATGTTATTTTCAAATAAGTTATATTATGTAATTTTATTTGTAAATAAAAATATGACAAAGTATATAAATAATCCCTAAACTTTTAGGGTGATTGCATTTTGGTCACCCAACTTTTGAAACTTACAATATAGTCATTAAACTTTTAGTTCATTTTTAGTAAGGTCATTGTCATTAACTCCCGCTAGTTTTTGCTTACGTGGCACTGAATTCCTTTAAACCCCCTTCTTTTTCTTCTTCTCTCGTTCTCGTTCGCCCCACCTCTGGTCAGTAGTGGCTAACACCATCATCACCGGTGTCGGCCTCCCGACCACACCTCGACCCTCGATTCATACTCACCGTCCACCGTTCGTAAATCGCAAGAAGATTGTTTGAACACCCATCCTCGATCTCCGTCATCGGTCGTC